AGAGAGAGAGAGAGAGAGAGAGAGGGAGGGAGGCGGCGAGGAGGGGGGGGGGATGAAGGAGGGTCAGAACCAGGTCGAAGAGGATGTTTGCATCCGCGTATTCTTCCCTCTTCCACCACCCGGACAGAGAGACAACTCCAACAGCCCTGCTGCACCGTCAGGCCCTTGCGTCTCCTTCCCCTCCTTGTTGGAATCTTTCTCGCCTTCCTCCTCTTCCTCCTCCTCGTCCTCGTCCTCCTCCTCCTCCTCCTTCTACTCCTCCTCCTTCTACTCCTCCTCCCTTCCTCGTCCTCACAACCACCACCACTACCTCCTCTCGGTCTCCTCCTCCCTCCTCCTCTACTCGCCCTCCCCTCAGCACTTTCACAACCGATCAGGGTGATGCATGCCCATCATCCACGCGCCGTGTCCTCCTCGCGAATGACCCGCAAACAGAACTCGACGCGTGTCCACTGAGAAGCCTTGCATGCTCTCCAGCTGAGAGACCAGCTGGACATATCATGAGTGAAGGTCAGGGAGGAGAAGACGGGGACGGGGAGGGAGTATGGAACCAAAGGAAGAAGGAGAACAGAGGACATGCCAGGAAGCGGAGGAGCCACAGGAGGAAAGAGCAAGGTAGCGGAGAGCGGAGAGGAAGGGAGGAGGGTAGACTGACATGTTGTAGAGCAGCAAGGCTCTTCACGGCACAGTTGTATCCTGTTCCCTCCCAGTTGTGAGCTCCATCTCTCTCAGGAGCCAAGATCCAGGCGTCCTGGAAGCCAAACACAAAGTCGCTCCCTCCCTTCTTGTACTTGTGTGAGTCCGCCTGGTCGTTGGCCTGTACACCGACGCCAGAGAGGGAGAGCAAAACTCCGCATCCTCCCTTCGCCTCGCACTCCTCCGCGTTCCAGGGGCGAACTGCAGCAGCTTGCGCCACAGAGCCATCGTGATCAAGGAAGGTGAAGATGAATGACTGCAGGCGGCAGTTAGAACGGAGTGAGAAGAAGTAGGTTTCGACGGGACCGGGAGGAGAGAGAAGGAGGAGGAGGGGGAGGAGGGGGAGGAAACTAGCCTCAATCATCATCATCATCATCATCATCATCATCATCATCATCATCATCATCATCATCATCATCATCATCGTCATCATCATCATCATCGTCATCGTCATCATCGCAAATCAACCAGCAATCAACCCACCTGTGACGGCACGCGACAGCGGAAACCGACTTTCAAGTCCTCCGAGACGGCAGTCGTCACCATGTTGCCGTCATCCTGAAGCTCATCTGCCTCGGCACGCAGCCAGGCATCCAGGCAGCTCCCGTCTCCAGGCGCACTGTCAGCCCAGGAGGGATCGAGATCCCCCGACCCTGGCGCTCCTCCCAGCTTGAAGCTCGCTTGCATCATCAGCGTCTGCCCCGGTGCCACCCACACCCCCTCCTCCCCCGGAGCTTCCTGAGTGACCACAGGAAGGAATTTCTTCCCCCTCGCCCAGCTGCTGAGGGCCTGCCGGGGGACCTCCGACCTCGACACCCTGACGCGGATCTTCTTCCAAGAGGAGCCGAGGTTCGCCACAGGGAGGGAGAGCAGGCCGGAGGTCAGCCTGCCCCCGACTATGTCCGGCACCGAGGAGGAGGGCCTGTGGATCGACACCTCCCTCTCGCTCACCCTCCGCACCGAGCACGCGATGGTGGCAGAGGCCTTGGATCGCACCCGGATGAAGATGGTGTGCTTGCCCTGCTCCAGAGCCAGCGTGCTCCGCGCCCAGCCTGTCGAGTACACGTCGCCATGGAGCAGCCGGTGGTTATCTACCTCGACATGGTGGGCGCCCGTGCAGAGCAGGGAGAAGTGACCGCCGTGCTCGACGATGAAGTCAGACACCAGCCAGCCCTGGAACTCAAGTCCCGACATCTTGCTGATCGACTGGATCACCTTGTTGAAGTCCACGTTGGCCCTCTCCCCCAGCGGGAAGCTCAGAGCCACGACCCCGTTCTGGGTCTTGAGCTTCGTCCAGCCCGCCTTGCCCCCCTGCACCAGTTCGGAGAAGAACACCTTGTTCTTCTGCCTCGTGAGGTTGCGGATCCCTCCGTGCGCCTCCACCGGGTCTCCATCGATCTCCGTCTTTCCTGCGACAGCTGTCACAGGCAAAGCCAAGTAAGCGACCAGGCAGAAAGCATGGCGATACCGATCGAGAAGGGACCGAGGAAAGCCCACGGGCCGAGTATGTTCCAGTCACCGACGTCTTTGACTACCGTCCAAGGAGAGCTTTGCGACTTCCCTCTGTTCGAAGAGGCTGCAGCCATGTCCGTCCCTGAGCAGCAGAGGAGCAGGAAGAGGAGGGCGCTCTCTGTTCCCTTCACCATCAGCAAGCGCTGGAGTTTTCTGCCCGCCCGTGTATCCATGCTCAGACGTTTGATCGTCTTACCTCCTCCTCCTCCTCCTCCCCCTCCCCCTCCCTCCCCCTCCCTTCCCTGCCTTTCCGCCACTCTTCCATGGATCCGCATTTCCACCCGAAAGCCAATACCCTCACCCCCTAAATTCCTCTTTACTACCCGGTCCTTGGACTATCCCTGGCACAAAGCAAAACTTCAAAGGATTCGAGGGGAGGAGAGCCAGGAGAGGATGAGACGAGGCGGAGGAGGATGGCGAGGAAGACATGGCAGAGGACGAGACGAGACATGAGGCTCCAGACACGATCAAGACGTTCGATGTTCCTTCACACCCAACACGTTCGATGTTCCTTCACACCCTACACGTTCGATGTTCCTACACACCCTACACGCTCCATGCTTCTCCTTCAGCTTAGCTGCCCCTCGCTCGTGCACACTTCCTGCCTGCCCTCTGAGGCCTGAGCAGTGAGACGGAGACGGTCTTGCTCTTGTGCAGCTTGCAGAAGGAGGAGCTGCATGTAGAGCTGGCGTTGAAGATTGGCTGAGCATCGCAACCTTCAGGGTGCCTGTGGATCATCGGGGGGTTCAGATCAGCGGACCAACTAGCTATCCCTTAGACTGCCTCCTCCCTCCTCCCTCCTCCCTCCTCCCTCCTCCCTCTTCCCTCCTCCCTCCCCTTGACCTGCATCTCCGCTTCTTGAGGAGGCAGTCCGTGCTCCTCTTATGAATGTGGCAGAATCTGGGTATCTTCTCCTGAAGGAAGACATACCGTCATGGCAGCTGACGCCTCCTATCCCCCGCGTCCTCCACACCTCCGGGTCCCCGAACGAGCATTGCCTGTCGCAGCCCTCGATGTGGCCGCACAGCCTATTGACGGTGACAAATCTGGGGAGAGCGGTTAGCAATCGCCAGCCGCAGTGTCGCAAGGAAGACCCCGGCGGTCGATGCTTGGCACAGAACAACTTCTGCACGCCTGGAGTAGCAGTCAGCTCCACTCCCTCGTCGCAGATGCTCCATCACCGTCCACGTGTCGGAAAGAGGCATGCGACTTGCAGCCTGTCCAGAGCAAGTCAACGGAGCTCCAGATCTCAGTCCTCTTGCGGACCCAACTGCCGGCAGAACTTCCCCCTCGTGTCGTAGTAGCCCTCCTGAGCCATCCTCTTAGTACGAGCTTCCATGCTCTGAGAAGCTGCAACCCTGGGGCAGTGCTCACGGCAGTAGGAGGGAACCTTGGACTCGGCAGTGCCAAAGGACGGCATCTTGGCGCAGTTGGGATGCTGGCAAGGCATGTTCCACGTCTTGGACTTGGACGTTCTTCCCTTCCCCTTCCCGCTGGACGTGCGGAAGAGCTTCACATGCCATGTCAGTGCCAGCAGTGACGGAGGTCCTCCCAACTACCTCCTCGACCAGCAGGGTCTTCTTACCCCTCCACTTCCTCGGACAAAACTGGTCAATACCGGCCTTCCTCGCGAGGTTCCCAAGGGCGACAGCAAACTGTGAGAAGTTGACGAGCTTCAAGCTCCCGTCCGACTCTTGTGCGATCTCAATGAACGTATTGTTGATCGCCTCCTCCTCGCAGTACTGATGGAACCCCAGCTCCCGGGAGATACTGATGAACTCGCTCAGCGTGCAGCTGCTCCTCTTGTCCGTCTGCTGGATGCTCGGGCTGAGATCCGCAAGATTCACAAAATTTCCTCTATGACCCTCCATTGCTAGTGGAGCTTACAGTCAGTCTTTGCCAGGTGCAGGGCCACGCGGAGGAACTTCACCTGCAATGGAGCGGTCCTGGCCAACGAAGGAGGCGATCAGAATGAAAGCGAGCCATCGGCCCGACAGGTGAATCATGGCCCCCTTCATCCTCTGCCATCATGGACCCCATGTTGCGGCAACAGATGCGCAGCGCACGAGCTGTGGATTCCTGAAGCAACCTATCTGAGGGAGAACCATGTCAGGTCGATCGAGACAAGAACAAGGATGATATGTGAAATCATCAGCTTCATCAGCACGAGATCATCTTCTTTCCTCATCGGCACGAGATCATCTTCTTTCCTCATCGGCACGAGATCATCTTCTTTTCTCATCAGCACGAGATCATATTGCATTTCCTCCTCCTCTCCCCCTCCTCCTTGCTCTGCACATCCTGCTCCGTGAAAGAGCATGTGCCGGCACATGGAGGGGCGCATTGCTTGTGGCTCGCTGCCCTCAAACTCAACCAACACGTGACCGTTGTTGCAGACGGATATTTATTGCTGTCTTTTTTTTTTAATAAATAATTACAGTGAGGCAGACTTGAAACACTATTCAAATATTCGATTTAGCTGACTGAGAGCAGATGAGGCGCGCTCACAGGTTCGTCTCAGTTTGTGCTGTCATGACAATGCAGGAAGGCAGCGGAGGCGAGGGAGGAGGCAGGATGGGAGAAGGAGGGAGATGAAGGAGAAGGAGGATGGGATATGAGGTCATGGAAGAGCGTGGATCGTTTCAGTGAGATCATAAGGGATGGAGCATGACATGGACATGAAAAGGGAGGCAGTCGAAGGCTCGATTCAGACAGTTTGCGAGTAGGGATACACTAGGGAGAGAGGTGGGAAGGGAAGAGAGCAACTGTTTACCTGCATCATCTGAACGGAGTTTACTTGTAGGAGCACTGCCAAGCTGCTCAATGTTACGGTAGATCAACGGCATGATTCTCTTTGTGCGAAAATGCTGCGAATGCGAGGTGAGCGGGCGCAGCTTCGTTTGCTCTCCCTCGTGTGACCGTGAGCGGGACAGATTGAAAGAAATCTTCAGGGTGAAGATACATGTAAGCGGCCGGATAAGGAAGACGGCGATTTCCTCCCAGCACCATTGTCTCATTACTGTTGTGTATGCGCCAAGAGAAACAAATGGACGCATTTCTCCGACAGGTGCCTATGGCATGGCTACTGTGCTCCTCCTTACCTTCTGCTGGCTACAGAGCATGTGAAAATTGCAGGGCCAGGGATAGAAAATCTAGGGAGATGGCGAGCGGGTTGAGCACGGGGTCGGGTGGTGGGCCCGCGGCAAGAGGGGATGAGAGCTCGAGGGCCATGGAGGACTTTGTGAATGTGCACTGGGAGTTCGCCCGAGACTGCGAAGCATTCGCAAAGTTGGACACCATGATACAGGAAAGAGCAGGCGCGCTCGACTCGAGGGCCCGTGAAGGTGAGCAGCCGGAGGGGTCGCAGGCCCGAACTGCGGGCAACCGTATGACAGAGTTTTTGACAGAGATTCGTAAAGAGTGCGAGGTGATTCGACAGGCGGCGATCGAGCAAGCGACGAAGGAAGCTGAGATCTTCACTGCCCGCATCCTGAAGCAGGTCCAAGAGACATCGCAGAGTCAGATGAGGGAAGCGCAGGCCGAGGTGGCAGAGCTGATGGCGATCGCCAGAAAGGAGGCACACGAGATCGTTGAGGCTGCCCAGCGCCAGGCTTCAGAAGAGCTTGACAATGCGCGTAAGGTTGCACACCAAATGATGGTTGAGTCCAAGGCAGAGGCGGAAAGAATTATGGAGGATGCCGAAACCAAAGTTGCAGGAGCTGAATCCTGGGTCGAGATAGGCAGAGGAGGCGACGGCTGGCATCGTCCGTCAATGGCTGTCTTCTTTCGGGGAGAGCTGGAGGCAGCAACGGGAGGATTTGCCAAGGAAAATTGCGCAGGATCAGGAGGGTTCGGTAGCGTCTACAAGGCCGACCAACTGGATGGGCTGGGAAACGGAGCGCCCATGGCGATCAAGAAGCTAGACTCTGGGAGCATGCAAGGACATGGAGAGTTTTTGCAGGAGCTCCAGGTCCTCGGCGGCTGTCGACACGAGCACCTGCTGCCTGTGATCGGGTTCGCATCTGATTCGGCGAGTGCGTCGTCGGGTCAGAAGGATCAGTCCGACTCGTCAGTCTGTCTCGTCATGCCACTGATGCAGGGCGGAAACCTGGAGGATCGGCTCTTCTGCAACGAGGGCTCGGACAGCCGACTGAGTCTCCTCTGCCACCGCAAGCAGCTGGAGCCCTTGAAGTGGCAGGACCGCCTGCGAATCATTACAGGGTTGATCCGGGCCCTGCTCTACCTGCACACCCCTGACACCTCCCGGTGTAAGCCTGTCATCTTACACCGGGACATCAAGCCAGCAAACATTCTGCTTGACAAGAGGCTCAACGCTCGGCTGTCGGACGTCGGACTTGCCCAGCTGCTCAGCTCAAGGAGGAAGCATGTCTCCAACTCCTTCGTTTGCGGCACCCATGGGTACCTGGACCCTCACTACCTTCAGACTGGACACTTCGACGTTCAGTGCGATGCATATGCGGTGGGAGTGACCATGTTGATGACATTGACCTCTACGCCTGTTTATTATGATGGGGAGACGATCGTGGATCGGTGAGACAGTTTACTGCCTTATCTACCCACATCTCCAGCCCCTGACGTTGAAGCAGCTGCATGGATGCCGAAGTTCCCGATATAGTAGACGCGAAGGCTTGCTGGCCTATGGAAGTCGCGGAGAAGTTTCATGAGATCTCCCTTGGGCTTCTCAAATTTCCCCGCAGAGAGAGGATTTCCTTGTCCGATGCCTTAGGGTCTGCTTCCCCTTCCTTTCGCCGTGCTGCTGCTCAACTGTCTGCAGGATGCTCGAAGGCGTCATCAACCAGTTCTCTATCCCCGTCTTCATCGCCGAAAGCGGGCAGGACGATTCCAACCGCTCTCAAGAGTGCGTCATGTGTATGTGCAGGCCTCGTCAGGTCCCTCTTCCGTCGGCTCTGCCGGGCCTGCCTCACTGACGCTCGCTGTCTCAGGTGCGCTTCAAGTGCAGTCACTGTATGCTGTGCGAGGGCTGCCTCAAGTACTTCCTCTCCCGGGCTAGGCCGCTGTGCCCCTGCTGCGAGACGCTGGTGGACGAAGACTTGATCGTCGCCCGCTACATCCCTGTAAACCCAGAGCCCGCGGCCTCGAGCGGAGGCTTCGCTGCGAGGCTGCTGCACGCCAACAGGATGTCTCGCTCTCTCCTGCGCGAAGTGTTTGACATGCAGCACCTGCTGAGCCACCAGTGACGCCGAGCAGCAGGGGAGGAGGAGGATGTGTAGCGGACCCGCCTAGTCCAAGTGTGAAACTCAGGCGTCCTGCGGGAGCGTCGCTGGGGAAGTACAAGTGGATGGGGAGTGGAGTTGTAGTTGTTATTCTAATCGAGCTTGTGATGAGACACCTGTCCCTGGCGACTAGCACACACACACACACACACACACACACACACACACACACACACACACACACACACACACACACACACACACACACACACACACACACACACACACACACGAGCAACAACAACAACAACAACAACAACAACAACAACAACAACAACAACAACAACAACAACAACAACAACAACAACAACAACAACAACAACAACAACACAGCCGAATATGTCGGGAAGCTGACGAAGAGCGAGCATGCTCTGAAAGGATCTGCTCTTGCTCTAGGTAGATCGCAGCCTGAAATCTGCCTAAAGTTCCTGAAAGCGAAAGGGAAAAATGAATTTTCCTCTTGCCTTGCTGCAGAGAGAGACAGAAGTATGTAGCAGTAACAGCACGTGGCAGTGCGCTCTACCCTGGTTGTCCACGACAGGTCACAATCGTTCACCTTCCATCTTCCTATTCATATATGAGAGTGCCCTCACTCCGTTAGATTCTGGGAAGCTTGTGCTGCGCTTGCTACGCCAGGTGTGAAGTTTACAAGGAGGATTCGAGCCTGGAATACTGGCGCCCTAGCTCAAAGAGCGCTGGTATCCAGACGGCCCTCGGAGCTTGACTGGGCTGGCAGGGGCACTAGGTGGGGTCTAAAGATGTAGCAGGGGATTCCCGCGCGTGTCTGAGCCAGAGGTGATCTCAGTGGGCTCCAGCCATCGTTACCCTCCTCTGAACCTCCTTTGGTGGCTCGGAGTCCGAGCGAGGCTGTCTTGATGACGCTGGTCATGCGATGACCTGATCAAGGTTGGATGTACGTGAACACGATGTTGACGGGAGATCAGGGGCCTGCCGTGATCGACTTCCAGTTGATCGCAATCATGGATAGGTGTCATCACATCTTGTTAGGCAGACAATTATGTCTGGACACTTCATGTGAATCTCTTATTCATTCGAATCGCTGACTAGACGTTATCTACATTGTTTCCCTAAACATATCAATATTCCTCAATGATCAAAATGCTCAAGTCCCTTCTCCGATTCGAACTTCAACCGAGGTGTTGCTTCCGCATTCCTCCCCATCCTCCTGGCGCTCCTCCTTCTCTCCCTCTACTTTCTCCTCCTCTTCTTCCTTCTCCCCTTCTCCTTCCTCTCCTCCTTCTCCTGCCCACCTTTCTCCTTCAGCACTTCCAGGGTTCGAGTGTAAGCTGCTCGATCTACTTGACTTCCTCTGCTTTGCTCTTAGAATGTTCTGATACAGAAGGTCTTCGCCTATGTCCTCCTCCAAGGGACTGGTGTTCGGGTTCCTTTCTTTCTGGCACCGAGCAACATAAGCCTCCTGCAGTCGATCCAGGTGGAATACTTTCCTTTTCTGCTTGTTCTCTGGCGCTACATTGACGTCGTTCCTCTCGGACGTGCCAGCGTGCGGAGTGCCCTCCTGCATGCCGGAACGCACAGGAACAACACTGACTCTGATGTGCCGGGGATTATACATTATCTTCTCCCTTGATCCACATGACCATCAGTCCCGTGATGCCTTGGGCCTCAGTGCCGGATCAAGAAGCTGCCCGATCGAATCCTTTCCGAGGGATGGGTGCGAGCAAACTGAGAGACGAGGAGGAAGCGATCGAGTGTGAGAGAGGTGGCAATAGCCACAGCTTACGATCAGGGGGTTGAGGCGGGTACTGGGTAGGCGGTGGGCGGGGCCCTGGTCTTAAGGATTTCAGGATACACACAAGGAGTCGCTACAGTCGGACAAGTGGGGGAGCAGTCCTACCACCCCCCCCCCCCCCACCCCCGTTGGAAGGTGACCCCACCCCAATGAGGCAACAAGTGCCCATCAATCACTATAGGTAAAACGGGGGTACTGTATCCAGTAAAAGCAAGGGAAAGTGGGGGGTGGGGTACCAATGTTGATTTCGGCGATAGAAGGTGTACACGCCTCGAGAGCCTTACAGGAAGCCTTTGGAGGGATGACCCCCATGAAGACTATCAGAAGTAGGGGTGGTACGGGAACAAGCAAATTCAATCTATTCTTGGAGGTTGGCGAGTGGCATCCGTGTGACGGGCACGGCATAGGGAAATAAGGAGAATTAAGGCGAATCATAGCAATTTAAGAGGAAAGTAGCTACTTTTAGGCGGGTTCTTGCCCTTGAAACTATATCTTTCGGGAAAGACAGCCAGTTATTCCGCACGCCTCTTCACACGAGGAGTTTCATTGCTGGTAACGTGACAGTCACAGACCCCTGTGATATTCCCCAGGTAACTGGAATCTTCCATGGACCTCCAGCCCCTCACACCCGCAACCTTTCGCGCCGACGCCGCGATCACGAGATTTAATAGGATTCACCCGTTCAAAGGAGTCGCAGGAGAGATGCGAAAACAATGAATTGAATCGATTTGTACCAGGACAACACCCTCTGGCCCATGGTTTCAATCGATTCTGCCCGATTTTGGGAGGCTTGCATTGCTCGTCTAAAATTGCGATCTCTTGAGGGTCACGAGGGCTCCCTGTAAACCTGTGCGACTCCCTAGTGCCTTCTTCATCCGACCCTTTTTTGTTCCGACTGTTGTAGCCCCACCCACCCCTCATGGTACCAATGAGGTTTGTGGACCACCACCCTATCTGAACACTGAACGCTAGAAGTGAAAACATGGGGTGATGCATGTAACTTAGCTCCTGGCCTACCCCACCATCCCCCCTCCCCGAATCCGGGCTATAAAAACAGCCTGCGCTCCCCATTGCCCCCATCTCACCTGTCGTCCCCACTCCTTCCATCTGCGATCCTGTCCTCCCCGCTGATCATCGCTCCACTCTACTCCTCAAGAGCTTTAGCGCCCAGTGTTACTTCCGCTGAATTCCTGAAGGAAGATGATTTCCGTCAGCCTGTCTGAGATATCCCCCCTTCCCCGACCTAACAAGCCCAAGGCCTTCCGCCTCAACCATGCTCAGAAACAGTACCTCAGCTCCCTCAAGACTGTCTCCGACGCTCCCAAGAAGCGCAAAGTCACCCAGGAGCTCGTCCTCGACAACATCCTCCAAGCCAGAGAGAAGGCCGCCTCCAAGAAGCAGTCCGACGTCCCCACGACCCGGCAGGTGATCTTCATTGCGGACATCCGGTTCGACTGAGCCTGGGGGGCGTCTGGGAGAGGGCTATGAGAGGGCAGCAAATTATTTTTTTGGGCACCGGAAGGCGGTGCATGTAGACTAGGGGGAACAGGGAGGAATGATCACACAACCATGTATATAATGAATAAATATCGAGCTCTGAAATCTAAGCGATATGCCAATCTCCAACTCAGCAAGCACATTCACACTGGCTTCAAACTCTCAGATGCATCTCAACAACCTGACTGGTTGAACATAACCTGCATGGTCTGAGTAGCCAGTGCCCCTGGCCCGCGGGCCCGGGCAGTGACTCGGTGCCACTGAGCGCCGCCGGCCAGCCTGGCAGGCTCCGGGGCTCAGTGCCATCACGGATCGGACTCGGATCCGATCGGACCGTGGCAGGTGACTCCCGACCCACACGGGTCACAGCCGCTGGCAGTGACCGGCGGCCCGGGCGGCCGCCCGGCCGAGCCGCCTCAGCCCGGCGAGTCAGCTTCGCCGACTCGCGGAGTGATCGGACCCGTGACCGTCGGACCGGTTACCGTACGGTAGTACCGTACGGTACAGTACTAGGCCGCCCCGCCAGTCCGGCCCGCCGCCGGCTCCGCCGCGGCCGTCGAGAGGCCGGCCCGGGACCGGGATCGGACGGTCACCGCCGGGGAGCCTCGGAGTCCGATCAGTGACCGAAAAGTGATGCCACGGAATAGTACGGTCACCGTGACTCAGTGAGGTGATCGGACTCCGTCGGGGCCGCCCGGCCGAGCGGCGGCGGCGGGCCGTGTCCGGCGGTACCGGCGCCGGGCGGGTGACCGGCACCGTGGCACGGCGCGACCGGCCGCCGCGGCGGGTCACCGGGGCCGCAGTGGCCGCGGCCCGGCGGTACCGGTGACCGTACGGTCAGACGGTACCGTGAGTTGGCTAGCCACTGAGGATCAGTCGAGGCCCGGCCCGGCCGCCGGGCGCGGTCGGCGCGGCGCGCGGCCGCTGAGCGGCCGCCCGGCCGCCGCGCACTGTTACCGTACGGCGGTCAGGGTTCCCGGGGGCCCGGGGTCATGACATGGCCGCAAACTTGAATTTCGGAGCCTGGGCCGCAGTCGGCGGTCACACAGCCTGGGCGCTGCCGGGGGCCCGCCTGGCACGTGACCGAGGAGTCCGTCACGGGGGCCGGGAGGAGTGCCACGGGGGTCACGGGGGTCACGGGGGTCACGGACCCGGGGGGCCCGACAGGAGTCACGGGGGTCCGACAGGAGTCACGGCACATCCGACCGATCTCCGAAACTCAGTTCAAGTCAACAAGTTGGACTCCGGGAGTCCCAGCCTGAGTTTGTTCCTTCGAAGACGGCGGTACGCCGCCGGGTAGCTGCCGTGACAGCCAGCATCCCAATGATCGAGAAACTTCTGGAAGGAGCCGCTTCAGCGAAAATGGCTAGTATTGCAGTGCTTGTCTGAAGCCTCGCATGTCGACGCACAGGAAGTCACGAGGGTCTTGTAAGACCCTAACGGAAGGGATGGTCTCCGTGTGCAACAATTCCTCCGAAAACATGTGGTTTCGATTTATTTAAAACTCCATTGTTTTTTATTTCTTGCTGAAAGTGTACCACCCAACCCTGCCTCATTTGCACGTAATGCAGGATACCCACCCTATGATTTCTGTCTTTTTGAAGCCAAAAGTACGGGTAATGGAATGATTGCTTATTTCCAGTGCAACATTTTAAAACCCGTCCCTTTCTGCATGCACCCCTTAGAATACCCCAAAAGGACCCCACCATGATGGGAATATTTAAAATATGTCTTTTAAGAAATCTGCATAAATACCTTAGCTCCCGACCCCTTCCCATCCCATCAATCGCTACCCACACCCTCCATCCTCAACTGCTCCTGCTACACCTTCCATCCCCCCCTTCGTTGTCCCTTTCAGACCTCGTTTTCTTCCTCCTCCCCCTCCCTTCGTGAACAGAAGCAGCAAGAAACATGGTCTCCGTCAGCCTGTCTGAGCTTTCACAGTACCCCCCCCCTCAACCTAACAAGCCCAAGGCCTTCCGCCTCAACCATGCTCAGAAACAGTACCTCAGCTCCCTCAAGACTGTCTCCGACGCTCCCAAGAAGCGCAAAGTCACCCAGGAGCTCGTCCTCGACAACATCCTCCAAGCCAGAGAGAAGGCCGCCTCCAAGAAGCAGTCCGACGTCCCCACGACCCGGCAGGTGATCTTCATTGCGGACATCCGGTTCGACTGAGCCTGGGGGGCGTCTGGGAGAGGGGTATGAGAGGGCAGCAAATTATTTTTTTGGGTACCGGAAGGCGGTGCATGTAGACTAGGGGGAAGAGGGAGGAATGATCACACAACCATGTATATAATACATCATGTCATTATATATTTCGACTACCTTTGTTATCTTACACCTCTTTCACACCCGCCTCGCAATGGCCTCACTTCGGCTCAATCAAACTTGATCACAGCGTTCATTGATAGCTGGCAGTTTTGTATCCTGCAAGGTCATATGTGAGCAACGTGTAGGTCAGCAAACACAAACAACCTGTCTAGCTTGTAGTGCTGTATCCCATGGCCTGTCCAGAGCATGTCCCGGTCGACCTCTCGGGCACGAAGTCCAACCTGGAGGAGGAAGCTGAGCGCTGAGAGGTGAGGAGGACGCCCCTGCTAGGACGAGGAGGAGGAAAGGTTGGGGGAGGAGGGAAATGGTGAGAGGAACGAATGGGCTGAATTGAGAGGAGAGGGCAGAAGCGGGAGGTTGGGGAAGAGGGAGGGAAGGAGACAGGAGGCAGGGGAAGAGGGGACCTGCGGACGAGGCTCTGCGAGCCTCTTGGCCGACAAGAACTTGAAGTTTCGTTGGACGTGATCAGTCTCTGCGATGGTCCTCTCGATCTGCAGGTAGTCAGGTCGAGGAGTGGTGGAGGGGCTCACCTTGAGCTTGTTGTGCAGCGACTGCAGCCTTTGCGTCACCTTGTACTCCATCTGAAAAGATTCATGACTGTGAGGACGGAGACAGAAGGCGATGAGGAGGGAGGGAGAGGAGGGGAAGGGAGGAAGGGAGGACAGTGGACAAGCACAGCAGGCAAGGCGAGAGGTTGAGCATAAACACAGGATCCATCACATGCTCGTGCTTCATGACGCGCCGTGGTGGAGGAAAGGCATTCGACGAGAACCTAGGACGCTCGTCGTCAGGAGAGGGTCGGAGCTGCTTCGAACTTGCCGCTCGTAGAGGTTGTCGCACTGTTCTATTATGAGCTGCCTAAAGTCAGCGGGTTTGCTCTGCTGGAGCTTGTCAGGAGGGTAGTGGGAGGCAGCTGGCAGAGGAGCATGACCGAGTCGCTGCTGAAGATGCTGACGCCTTCCCGCTCCTCCTGCAGGACAGGATAGGGGGGGACAGAGACAGACCTGTTGAGTTGCCTAAGAAGCGGCAGGGGATGGATTGGAAGGGCGAGGGAGAGAAGATGAGGAAAGGGAGAGGGAGAGGGGGAGGGGGAGGGGGGAGGGGGAGGGGGAGGGAGAGGGAGAGGGAGAGGGGGAGGGAGAGTAGGTGACGATGAAATGGAGCAAGGATGGTGATGGGTCTGGTGACGAGGATGAAGGAGGAGGGTTACCGAGGCTGCAGCTTCTTCTTCTTCTTCTTGTTCGGGGCCCTCGACAGTGTCGGCGTCTCCTCTGCTGAGCAGTCAGAACCAAGGAGAGGAGCGAGGGGTGAGGACCAGGGAACGAGCTCAAGGCTTGTTCAGAAGTATACTGCAACGAAGCGAGTCAGAGGCAAGGTGTTGGGGAAAGGGAGGGCGTGGGGGTGAGAGGAGGAGCTGATCAGCAAACCTCCGCAGCTCCTTCCATTGCAGTCTGAGCGCGAGGTTGGGCGCCCCTCCTCTTCTCAGCTGTCGACCCTCGTCGCTGGCCATGGCGGTGAGCACCGGGGCAGTCAGGGAGGAGGAGAAAAATTCGCTCACGCTAGTCGACTCTCCCCTGCTCTTGACCCCCAGGATCCTAGCAGGTCACGTCAAGACGAAGAGTGATAGGGTCCAGTACTCCTCACTCCCTCTTCCTCCGATCCACTTCCTTGGCGACGAACTCGTACCACTCCTGCTCCGACGTCATTCTGCTGCCCCCGCCCTCCCACCAAACCTTGTCGGACATGGAAGGGTCACGAAACTGCTCCAGGCCTGCAGCGAAAGGATATGAGAGGAGGTAGGGGAGGAGGAAGAGGAGGAAACGAAGGACTAAGGGAAGAGAAGGAGAAACACAGCAAGAGGAGGAGACAAAAACAGATTTTTTGACGGAGGAGCAGAGAGGGTTCAAACCTCCCACAGAGTTTGAGGTTGGATTCGCTGCCACTTCCTGCCCGCTCCTGAGGTGAACCTGCGGGCTCTAGTAAACGAGAGGAGGAGGAGGAGGAGGAGGAGGAGGAGGAGGAGGAGGAGGAGGAGGAGGAGGAGGAGGAGGAGGAGGAGGAGGAGGAGGAGGTGGTTGCGTACGCTGCTCAGAGCCTTGCGCAGGACAAGCTGATTGATCGTCTGATTCTGTTGGATGGCATTCCTGTCCGCAGACAAAAATAAGTCTCTTCTCTCTATTCCTGTCCTGTCCTGTCCTGTCCTGTCCTGTCCTGTCCTGTCCTGTCCTGTCCATTTCCTCCCATTCTTTGTATCCTTGCATCCTCTCTCCCTCCACCTCCGCCCCTCCCGGCTCCCATCGCCTCTCTGATCTCATATCGCACCCCAGCACCGCCGCGTCCTCCAGTGTGACGTGAACAGCAAAACCGCCGAGCGCCTGTGCGAAGGAGATGAACGAGGAGCAAGAACGCGGCCAGCCCAGAAGGCAGAGGAGGAGAAGAGGCGGAGGGGAAGCAAGTGAAGAGCGGATTCGAGTAGGACGCTGGAGGAAGGAGGGGAAAGAGAGGCAAGAAGGGAGCAGGAGAGGAGCAAGGAGGTGGTGTCATGCGAGAAAGAGGGAGGGAAGGGAAGGGAGAGGAAGGGGAGGGAGAGAGAGCAAAGGGAATCAGTGAGGGGATCTGAAGTGAACAGAATTGCCAAAGGGGTAGACTTGGTGAAGGATACAACCTTGTGCACATCAGTGCCATCCAGCTTTCCATTACGAGCGATCGAGCCCTCGAGCTGCGCAGGATAAGGAGGAGGAAGTAGAAGAGGAGGAGGAAGAGTCTGTAGGGGAAGGCAGCTTACCGTCCTCAGGAGCTGTATGAAGGCCTCTTCCCACGAGTCTTTCTCTATTGCCTCCTCCTCGCCCTCCGCAGCTCCCTCCGCGCCATGATCCGGTGGGAGCTGCTCGCTGAGGGACCTGCTCTTCTGCGCGCGACACGTCAAAGGAGAGAGAGGAGGAGCGCAAGGAGGAACCATCTCCATCCCCCTATACGGGTTCGACGCCTTCTCCTCGATCGTCCTTTTGAACGCCAGGACCCACTCGTCCCGGGACTGCGGGACGCTCGTTGGAACTTGCACAACGAAAGGAGGAGAGCCGCTACCGAGGACTCGGTGAAGGCCAAGCTCAGCTCGTGCTCCTCCGACTCCACCTCGTGCTCTCCGCTCCTCCCGAACCTGAGTTCGATGGTGTACGGGTGCCTGACGTGGATAATCTGCCATGAAGGCATCAGACAGGACGGGGAGCAGGAGGGCCGACCTGTGTTGCGTTGATGACGGTGCTCTTGTCCACGTAGCTTGAAAAGTGACCCAGGGCGACCACGGACTTGATCTTCGATCTCCCCTTGGTCCAATCCAGACTTGGACTCCTCATCGATGTCCATCCTTGTCGTTGAGGTCAGAGGGCGGGAGGAGGAGGAGGAGAAGGAGGAAGGGGCGGAGGGGGAGGGGGAGGGAGGGGAGAAGGAGGAGGAGGAACGTAAACAACGAGGAAGGAGGAGGGGAGGAGGAGGAGGGAGGAGGAGGAAGGGGCAGAGGAAGAGAGGAGGAGGGGAGGGAGGGGGGGGGAAGGGCCGTGGAGGGAGGAGGACCGTGGAGACGTGGTGGCGGTTTCCCGTCCG